ATAACAGTTTCGGCAGAACGTTTGGTAGAGGGATTGACTTCATTTTTCTCTGATAAATTAGTAGCTTGAGGCGGAGAATGACAAAACTCACAGATGATGCGGGAGAAAAATCTGAGAATGTACCAATGCATTAAACTAAGTAGCCTTGACAACAAGACCGAGTTGCGGAAACGAGGTCATCTCACTTAAATAAAATTGGGTTGAAACTTTGTAAAATGTGAATGATAGTTAAATTAAAATCTGCTAATAGATGCGTGAAGAAGAATCTTTCATTTCGAGAGCAAATACGAACACTTATAGAAATTACTAGATTAAGATTTATATAGTGGACAGGGGCTGAGTAAATTGTGTCTATTGCCTGGTTTAACAGCATCACACCTTTGCTTTCCTGATTAAGTCTTCGCCATAAATGTTGAATAAAAGCTGGTTCTTCTTCTTTAACAACAATAGTAAAACGAATTGGTCCATATAGATATACATATAGGGACGTTTAATCTTTCTGAAAGTTATGCGTACCAAAATTTAAACTGCTCAAAAAAAACAAATAAACGACATAATCTGAACATATATTCCATTGAAAAATGCAGTACTAAATCTTTTTAGCCCGAATGGTCTGTGATATCAATCCATTATAATAACTATATATCTTGCATTGATCCAGACCTTCGACTTACAGATCATCCAATTAACAACTTCAGACAACCATTCCACTCACTCGGTACATGTTAACGGCGAGAAGTAAAAGTGGAGAATATCATTTCCTTATAAGTCGCACGCTCATGCATAACAGGCCAAAATACACAGATATACAGACAAACTAATACGCAAACCAATGCTTCTTTTTCGAATCTTAGAGGCCTAATGTTTTGGCTGTTAGCAGGATTGAGCATAGCTGGGACTGCTAGGGACGCCTACTTACTGCGGCTAGTCAGCGAAACCAGATGCAATTTCTCCTGGATTTCGGCATCGTCCCGATCTACGATCACGCCCTCCACTCCAAAATCCATGCGTGATTGTAAGATCGCCTTGGCCACGAAGAAGTGAACTTTTGAGTCCGGCGGCTGATCCTTCATTGTACTTGCTGTCTGTCCTGTTGTTATAGGCGGTGAAGTCTTCTCCGTTTGAAACACTCGGCGACGATATAGCCTCTCCTCTCCATCTTCCTCTCTCCCTTCAAGGGTTTTATCAATGTCTAAT